GATGGATGGATAGATGATAGATAGATGGATGGATGGATGGATGGATGGATGATAGATAGATGGATAGATGGATGGATGGATGGATGGATGGATGATAGATGGATAGATGATAGATAGATGGATAGATATATAATAAAATCCAGGAAAGAAAATAGTGATTTTCGGTTTACAGGAAAAAAAATTATAAAACCTTTTAAATGCATATTTGTCAAATCAAATCAAATCAAACCAAAATAAATCAAATCATTCTGCTTATGTTTTCCTCTCTAAAAAACTGTAAAAATAAAACTATAACAAGCAAAATCTTATGCTGTATACATTATGTGGTTTTGCATTGTCTGATTATCTGATTTATTAACTATAAAAATAGAATTTTGCAGCAAGCATAATCTTATGCTGTAAGCATTACACATATTTTGCATGATCTAGTTATCTGATTTGTGTATTGGAGAAAAAAAAATATTCAGGAAGACAGTACTGCTCTTTGTTCTCTCCTCTAAATGAAACTATAAAAATAGAACAATTTTTAACAAGAATATTTTTTTCCTACAGGGAAAATGCATATATTTAATTTTTTTTTAATAAAATAAAATAAAAAGTAGAATATATAAAATAATTTTAGTATATAAAAGTCAGAAGACAATACTGCTTTTTGTTCTCTTCTTCTCTAATGAAATTTTATGGATGGATGGATGGATGGATGGATGGATGATAGATGGATAGATGATAGATAGATGGATAGATGGATAGATGGATAGATGATAGATGGATAGATGATAGATAGATGGATAGATATATAATAAAATCCAGGAAAGAAAATAGTGATTTTCGGTTTACAGGAAAAAAATGTATAAAACCTTTTAAATGCATATTTGTCAAATCAAATCAAATCAAACCAAAATAAATCAAATCATTCTGCTTATGTTTTCCTCTCTAAAAAACTGTAAAAATAAAACTATTTATAACAAGCAAAATCTTATGCTGTATACATTATGTGGTTTTGCATTGTCTGATTATCTGATTTATTAACTATAAAAATAGAATTTTGCAGCAAGCATAATCTTATGCTGTAAGCATTACACATATTTTGCATGATCTAGTTATCTGATTTGTGTATTGGAGAAAAAAAAATATTCAGGAAGACAGTACTGCTCTTTGTTCTCTCCTCTAAATGAAACTATAAAAATAGAACAATTTTTAACAAGAATATTTTTTTCCTACAGGGAAAATGCATATATTTAATTTTTTTTTAATAAAATAAAATAAAAAGTAGAATATATAAAATAATTTTAGTATATAAAAGTCAGAAGACAATACTGCTTTTTGTTCTCTTCTTCTCTAATGAAATTTTATGTTGTATGCACTATACAATTTTTGCACTGCACAATTTTTTCTTTGTAAAACTGTTTTGGAACAACATGCTGAAAAGCCAGTGGAAATCTAGCTTGTAGAAACAGTATACACACATTGCGGTTCTCCCTGCTGGGCAGCACTATCATACGTTTCAAGCAGAGCGTTGAAGAGCTATTGAACGAGGCGGCGATTGACACAGTTGGACACCACGTCCAAAACAACGAGATGTGACTCACTTCCACAGCTCCCATCAGGCAGCAGCATGTAGCCGTTTAGGCAGTAGCATTTGTAGCTCCCGTATGTGTTCATGCACCTGTGTTTACACGGCCGAGGCTTCAGGCCACACTCGTTCAAGTCTGCAGACAGAAGAACAGAGAGGGGGAGGTTAGAACATCCTGGTGTGAGTGGGGAGGCCGAGTGGGGCAGGAATTAGGCTTCAAACAGAGGTCAAATCTGAAAGGTCAATCCTTTCAAACCTGTGAGGCGGCGTCTGCGGGAAGAAGGTGAAGCTGCAGGCCACCGTGTCTGGACAGGCCCACCTCAGCGTCTCACACCACACAAACCTGCACTTCAGCTTCCAACGCTCCGAGTCTGACTTTGAGTTTTGATACGTCAACTACGTACTCATTTCCTTGAATATTTAATAATATTCTAAACTTGGAAGCTGTTGACCTATTTCTAGACTTTGACAACCATCCTTACTGCCATAGAGTCACAACTTTACTCATAACCATCTTTAAAACAAAACTTCAGGACAGCAGGCTGAGTGCCAGTGCAAGGTGGCAAATCAAAAATAGGGCAATAAATTCAAAAATCAATATAAAAAAATTAAAAAAGCAATTATCAATAAGTTTGACATCAAATCTGTCATCATTTCTTTTGCAATTGCTGAAAGTGTTGTTTCTGTTAATTAACACTAAAATTATTAAAAATGGTTTTCATAAAAAAATAAATAAGTAAAATGGAAATAAACGTTTCTTTGGCAGCTAACTGACATAAAATAAGTTGAAGTTAAAGTACTAAAATTACTACAGTTAAAAGAAGACCTAAAAGAAATATAATAAAAATGAAGAAAAAAATAAAACAAAATTACTAAAACTTTAACTAAAATGAAAGCAGAAAATATAACAATAAAAGATCATTAATATTAAATAATAATAATAATAATGATAATGTGATGAATTGAAAAGTTTACAAAAATTCTAACATTTTAGACATTTTATAATTAAGGATAATTAATGAATTTAACTCAAATGAAAATGAAAGCAGAAAATATAACAATAAAAAAAATGTATATTATTACATAATATAATAATGATAATAATAATAATAATGTGCTGAACTGAAGGGTTTCCAAAAATTCCAAAATTTTAGATATTTTATAATTAAGGATAATTAATGAATATCCAGAGTTTTCTATATATTCTACTCTAACACAAAATTGTGTGCCATCGATAAAGCAAGATACAAAAAGCTGTGATTTTAATAAACAGTCAAAATAAATAAATGAGTTTATCAATTAGTTGAATTAAATTCACATATTTTAATAACTTGGTAAATGATTCTTTTATCTATTTATTCTCAACATTAAGTGATTGTTTAATTGTTTATCCACTTCTCAAATAATTACTGAGTAGCACAAAAATAGCCCTCATTTGTTAATAGCTCAAATAAATAAATAAATGAATTCAAGAGATTTTTATTTTACCAGGGCAAAGCAACACTTTGGGTATCGCACAAGGGTTGGCTATAGTTTAATCCGAACTCAACCTAAAGTCTAGGCCACATGGGTCATCAGCTATAGGCTACATATCACTTAGATCTCAATATTGTAAGGTACACAGTCAAGTTTATAGGCCAGACCCGTAGCGTGATGCCTGCGGTCTCATTTGCACTGGACTGAAAATAGATTCCCCTGGCTGCCATACATGAGTGTCTTTGGCATGGCCCAGTTCTGAGAGAATGGCGCCATCTTTAGCGGTGGGTTATGCAGGGAATGCATACTAGCGATCTATATTTGACAGCTGCCACAGATTGAAATAGATGAATGGCACAGTGTATTAATGGTAATTGGCACCGGTGGGAGGTCAGTCCGCTGGAATAATTAGTCGAGGTGGGTGAGGACAGCTACAATCACTTCCCAAATCATCTTAGCAAGAGTCGTCTATTATATTCCAAACAAAGACGACATAAATCTCTCCGTTTCAAAGTTGAACCACTTCAGTGCGATGAAAAACTATGCATGAATAGAAAATTGGGCCGAGTCTTTAACACCTTTTCAAACCGTATGACATTTCTTTGCAAGCACACAGCTCCGAGCCGCTGAAGCTATGATTACACACTCAGCCTGAATTTAAATTCACAATTAGCCAGCGATTTCATGATGATTGGGGACATAATTGACTAACGCTGACCTTGCGTGACACAGTCTTTTCTTGTGGATTTCATCAATTTGCAACACTTTGTTGTTAATAGAAACAAGTAGAAAATGCGACTATTGCAATTAATCATGGAATCATTCAATAATAAAATAAGATTAAAGTATTTAATATGAATTATTCTAATTTGTGATAAAATAATGTTGATATTAATATGAAAATATAGTTTAAAAAACCCTCATGATGTTCCAAGCCATATACTGTTCCATACAGTATATGCATAATGAATGGGGACGGCGATGTCAAGAAAAATTTTTAAATGATTCAAAGTCTTCCAAAACCATACAATAAATTTAATTGAAACACTTGAAGGATTAGAAGTAAACCACACCACTCCAGTTCATCAGTTAATGTCTTGTGACGTGAAAAGAAACAAATCCATCATTTGAGGGTGACGTAACTTTAAAATGTCCCTTCTGGCTAAAATACGAGTCCGTAATCCATAACAACGCTTCCTACAATGAAAAAGTCCATCCTCTGTTGCTCTCTCACATCAAAATCCACCTACATATTTGTTTAGAACTGTTTTTGCTTGTAAATGGTTCTTGATCTGTGCATATTTCTCTTCTGATGCAGTGGAGATGACTTTTTCACTGGAGAAAGCAATGTTATGGATTGAGTGAAATATATTACCAACACTTCACAAGACATTAACTGATAGACTGGAGTGGTGTGGATAACTTGTGGATTATTGTGATGTTTTTATCAGCTGTTTGGACTCTCATTCTGACGGCACCCATTCACTGCAGAGGATCCACTGGTGAACGAGTGATGTAATGCTACATTTCTCCAAATCTGATGCAATGAAGAAACAAACTCATCTACATCTTGGATAGCCTGAGGGTAAATCAATTTTAAGCTAATTTTAATTTTTGGTGAACTATTCCTTTAAACATCTGCGGTTATTTTTCATGAAGATGAGTTGGAATGAGGGAGAGTGAATAGTAATTTTAAGGTGAACTATCCCTTTAAGAAATAACTAGTATGCCTTTCCTAGAAACTAAATATATAATCAGACCTTACACACTATACCAAGTGATATCAAATCATCTGTAAAATCTCAGAACTGCATCTACTTCTTCACCTCTTCAAGTCTCAGTGGTTCAAGCAGTAACTCAACTCTCTGAGCAGCATGTAGACTAATTCAGCTCAGAAAGATGTTTAGAAACACGAAGCAACTCGTGCTTCTGTTAAGTGAAGTGAAGAGGAGACTAAGCCATCACTGAAGACTCATTGGCCTTTTGCTCGCTCAAATAAAGCTGAAAACAGCAGAAATGAAATGTCACATTCCCAGAATAGCCGTACTTGACAAGAGACAGCTCTGAGCAGCAACACATAGTCAACTAATGATATGAAATAAAAAAAATCAGTTGTCCAGTCTGAAGGGAGAAAACGGAGGGTAGGAGGTGTGAAGGTGTTGAAAAGCCAGAACAGAGAGCAGGTAGACGAAATAAGATCACACCGTATGGAAAGTGTGACCGCAGCCTATTCTGAGTGCTGCACTTAAGAACAGTGAAGAAACATTATAAAACTGATTACAGAGATTATTCACGTCACCCGCAAAACATTTACCATGGTAACCAATGTGTCAGTCAGTTACAACAGTTATTGCTAATTCTGTAAAAGCAAAAACATATATTTTTAATTTTCTGAAGAAAATGTGGAGTTAATTACATTAATTAATTAATGTAAAAGTCAATTCTAGAATGTTCTGCATGGTTGCTAGGGTAATAATAATTATAATGATATATAATTATAAGTATAATTATATAATTGTAGTAGTAAACATTTTGCTTTTTCCTAGTATTTTTTTCTATTATTATTATTATTATTATACATATCAATTATATATGCATTATGCACATAGATATAGTACTAATAACAGTAATAAATTCATATCATAAAATGCACAGTTTTGTCCCTCCCCATCAGTCTGTAGATTGTTGATATAATAATAATAACAATAATATTATAATTACACACACACACACACACACACATATGAAATGCCCCCCCTTTCTTTAAAAGAACAGTTCACCCAAAGGTGAAAATTCTGTCATCATCTAGTCACCCTCAAGTTGTTCCAAACCTGTATGAGTTTCTTTCTTAAGCTGATAACAAAAAAGTTATTTGAAGTATGTTGGTAACCAAACAATGGGTGGTAGCCATTGACTTCCATTGTATAGGAAAAAAAATACTATGGAAGTCAATGGGTACCATCAACTGTTTGGTTACCAACTGTCTTCAAAATGTCTTCTTTTGTGCTCAACAGAAGAAACTCACACAGGTTTGGAACAAGTGGGGGGTGAACAAATGATGACAGAATTTAAATTTTTGGGTGAACTATCGCTTTAAAAAAAGAGCATATCATGGAGCTTCTGCTGTTAGCGATGATTTTTAATATCATAACTAAAATAGATGTTCCAACATAGTCTCTTGTTAAACTTTAAGTCATTTGGCAAAATAGTAAGATGATATATTCATTGGCTCATATAAAATGTACTATACAACATTTAGTTTGATTGAACTGAATGCTGGCTGATTTGGAACATTTTTCAATTGGTCAGGCTGAGAGACCAGTTCAAACCTGTTTTGTTCATATTAATGTGTACATGACGCCCATTTTGAACACCTTATTCTGATTGCAGAAAATAAATATAGAAGTCTTGAAGTTATGCTAGCAAAGTGTACAACTCACAGAAAGTATAAAAAAACATCATGTAAAGCTAAACTATGACTTTTTTGATGCAAGAAACCTTGACTAACTTTATATGTAGTCTTCAGGGCAAACATAAAGTAAAACGTGTAAAGCAGTCTCTTTAATGTTTTCCTTGGTGCCTTCTTGTTACACCAACATATGGACGTACAGGTTTCAAAAGCTGACAGTCTACATCATGAATGTTTGATTTTGGGCATGCCAGGGGCATAATAATGGTTAATATGTTTTGGAAAACACTGTTCATTTCCGTGTATTATTTAGGAGTCGGAAAGCCAAGCACAGCTGAGGGGATTATATGGGATTCTTTACATGTCATCATATAATTAAACTGTAAAGCGCCGGCATTGTTCTGTAACACTGACATTCCATCTTCTCATCTTTTTTCCAGTGTCAATCTCAGGCAGTTGTTGCTACTGTACTGGATATTTTTGAAAGCTGAAGACTATAAACACTTTAAATACCAAGCGCCACTATTTTGGGGTTTTGTCTTCTTGTTAATTGTCTATAGTAATGTCAGCTGCTCCAGAAGAAAAGGGGTCACATTTTTCCAGTCACGATGGTGGGTTCTCACCATGTAATCATGCACTTTTTTAATTTCTCCAAAAGGAAAAAGTCTGTTCTATCCATTTTCTGCAGTCCAGCAATGTAACCTTTTCCTTCAAAGAAATCATAAAAGCAAAACTGACTTGTGCATTCAGCCTGAAACAGCACCGGCAGCCCATTTAGGTTTTATTTTTGAGTGAAACTTTGACAATAAATGTAGGAAAAGTCTTGATTTTATCCATCAGAAAACGAAAGGATTGTGAAGATGTCTCTTCATATGACAGCTGGTTGGAAAGAACAAAAAAGGAACGTATATAATATAAAATACATTAAATAAAACCAACATACTTTTCTGAAATTAAAAGCCTAGACATTTATTAAACTAAATCAAAATGTACCCTATTTATTTAGTTAGTATACAATATACAGTACGTATATATACATATATATATAGTATGTATTTATTTTAGATTTTTATATTTATTTGTTTTTAGTATAATGACTTTTTCCCACAGCAGAAATGACTCTCTTCTGATGTGACCAAGGTAGTGAGGGTGGGGAAGATATTAAAGAATATTATCATAGCCTGCATTTCACAATCAAGCCCTGTTTTACATTGTTTGCTCTGCATAAGCTGAAGTTAAAAGCACCACCAGTGCCGTTTCATTTTATCTACTCATTTGCATATAATCTTTACTGAATAATGTTATTATTCTCCTCTACAGGAATACGGACAGCTCAAAGGTGTGTTTTGTCAATGTTTTTGTCCACGTTATCCTGTGTGCTGTTATCTGTTATCTGTTTTCCTCATTCCTAAAGACGAGCAGGGCTATGTTAGCCCCCCATTATGGCACAGTCGCCCTCCCGTTTTTGTTCCCATGGACCACCAGCCGATTGCGGTGCCTTCGGAGGGTGAGCTAATCCTCTGTGTGTGATTTTCTTGTAAGACTGCTTACCGGATGACGCCTGCGTCCGCCCCAAGCGCCACCCCTCTGGCCCACGTGCATGGCGCAGTCTGCTTAGCCCAGCGAGAGTGAATACTTTCCCTTTAGCAGATCCCCAAAGCCTCCACAGGCATGGCCGGAATGACACGGAGAAAGCCACGCATGCCTTGGCAGAAACACACACACATAAAGCCCTTAAGAGGCTGTTCTGTTTCACCCTGCTCTCTTTCTCCTACACACACATCCTGTCTGTGTCTGTCAGTTCCTCTGATCTTCTAAAGCAGGGCATCTTTCATCTGCGAGCATTCAAGTGGCTGCCCGGCTGCTCTCTTTCTCTTTAACCTTCTGCCTGTCTCCTCTATCTCAGGCCCATCTCCAACTGCCAAACAAATATCCTGTCATTCAAAAAGTGTCTGTCATGTTGTTGTTGTCTGCCTCTGAGGTCATTCAGGATTTTTCACACAGACCTGCAGTATAGGTTGTCAGTTTCAAGTGAACTGACCATGGTAACAGTAGTCAAATTTCCAAAGTTAATGCAGTCATTTTTATGGTGAACATTTTTTTAGTGGTGGTAAAATTATATGTGTATGTATGTGTGTTAATTATTTATCTATGGAATAATTATTTTTTCTCTGTTTGAACAATGTATGGGTGGTGGGGTAGAGACAAAAGCTGCTCTTATAACTTTGCAACTTATATAGTACTAATAAAAATAATAAATTAATATCATAAAATGCACATTTTTGTCCCTCCCCATCAGTCTGTAGATTGTTGATATAATAATAATAACAATAATATTATACACACACACATATATATATATATATATAAAACATTGTATTATTATTATTATTATTATTATTATCATTATTAATAATAATAATAATAAACATCATACAACTACATAATATACATTATCTAATAAAATAAAAACATAAATATAAAAGTAATTTAAATAAATATAACACAATATAATAATTATAATAATTATATTTAATAATTTATAATATAATATATACGTTGCTAAGTTTTAAGTTCAGTTTTTGTCCCTCCCCAACCCTCCTTAAATTGTTCAGACAGAGACAAAAATGTGAATAATAAAAATAATAATAATAATTATTATTATTATTGTTATTATTATTAAACATCATACATCTTTATAATATACATCATCTAATAAAATAAAAATTTAAATACATTTATTATATTATATTATATTATATTACGTTATATTTATTTAAATTACTTTTATATTTATGTTTTTATTTTATTAGATGATGTATATTATGTAGTTGTATGATGTTTATTAATAATAACAACAACAATAATAATAATATAATGTTTTATATATATATATGTGTGTGTGTGTGTGTGTGTGTAATATTATTGTTATTATTATTATTATTATATCAACAATCTACAGACTGATGGGGAGGGACAAAAATGTGCATTTTATGATATTAATTTATTATTTTTATTAGTACTATATAAGTTGCAAAGTTATAAGAGCAGCTTTTGTCTCTACCCCACCACCCATACATTGTTCAAACAGAGAAAAAATAATTATTCCATAGATAAATAATTAACACACATACATACACATATAATTTTACCACCACTAAAAAAATGTTCACCATAAAAATGACTGCATTAACTTTGGAAATTTGACTACTGTTACCATGGTCAGTTCACTTGAAACTGACAACCTATACTGCAGGTCTGTGTGAAAAATCCTGAATGACCTCAGAGGCAGACAACAACAACATGACAGACACTTTTTGAATGACAGGATATTTGTTTGGCAGTTGGAGATGGGCCTGAGATAGAGGAGACAGGCAGAAGGTTAAAGAGAAAGAGAGCAGCCGGGCAGCCACTTGAATGCTCGCAGATGAAAGATGCCCTGCTTTAGAAGATCAGAGGAACTGACAGACACAGACAGGATGTGTGTGTAGGAGAAAGAGAGCAGGGTGAAACAGAACAGCCTCTTAAGGGCTTTATGTGTGTGTGTTTCTGCCAAGGCATGCGTGGCTTTCTCCGTGTCATTCCGGCCATGCCTGTGGAGGCTTTGGGGATCTGCTAAAGGGAAAGTATTCACTCTCGCTGGGCTAAGCAGACTGCGCCATGCACGTGGGCCAGAGGGGTGGCGCTTGGGGCGGACGCAGGCGTCATCCGGTAAGCAGTCTTACAAGAAAATCACACACAGAGGATTAGCTCACCCTCCGAAGGCACCGCAATCGGCTGGTGGTCCATGGGAACAAAAACGGGAGGGCGACTGTGCCATAATGGGGGGCTAACATAGCCCTGCTCGTCTTTAGGAATGAGGAAAACAGATAACAGATAACAGCACACAGGATAACGTGGACAAAAACATTGACAAAACACACCTTTGAGCTGTCCGTATTCCTGTAGAGGAGAATAATAACATTATTCAGTAAAGATTATATGCAAATGAGTAGATAAAATGAAACGGCACTGGTGGTGCTTTTAACTTCAGCTTATGCAGAGCAAACAATGTAAAACAGGGCTTGATTGTGAAATGCAGGCTATGATAATATTCTTTAATATCTTCCCCACCCTCACTACCTTGGTCACATCAGAAGAGAGTCATTTCTGCTGTGGGAAAAAGTCATTATACTAAAAACAAATAAATATAAAAATCTAAAATAAATACATACTATATATATATGTATATATACGTACTGTATATTGTATACTAACTAAATAAATAGGGTACATTTTGATTTAGTTTAATAAATGTCTAGGCTTTTAATTTCAGAAAAGTATGTTGGTTTTATTTAATGTATTTTATATTATATACGTTCCTTTTTTGTTCTTTCCAACCAGCTGTCATATGAAGAGACATCTTCACAATCCTTTCGTTTTCTGATGGATAAAATCAAGACTTTTCCTACATTTATTGTCAAAGTTTCACTCAAAAATAAAACCTAAATGGGCTGCCGGTGCTGTTTCAGGCTGAATGCACAAGTCAGTTTTGCTTTTATGATTTCTTTGAAGGAAAAGGTTACACTGCTGGACTGCAGAAAATGGATAGAACAGATTTTTTCCTTTTGGAGAAATTAAAAAAGTGCATAATTACATGGTGAGAACCCACCATCGTGACTGGAAAAATGTGACCCCTTTTCTTCTGGAGCAGCTGACATTACTATAGACAATTAACAAGAAGACAAAACCCCAAAATAGTGGCGCTTGGTATTTAAAGTGTTTATAGTCTTCAGCTTTCAAAAATATCCAGTACAGTAGCAACAACTGCCTGAGATTGACACTGGAAAAAAGATGAGAAGATGGAATGTCAGTGTTACAGAACAATGCCGGCGCTTTACAGTTTAATTATATGATGACATGTAAAGAATCCCATATAATCCCCTCAGCTGTGCTTGGCTTTCCGACTCCTAAATAATACACGGAAATGAACAGTGTTTTCCAAAACATATTAACCATTATTATGCCCCTGGCATGCCCAAAATCAAACATTAATGATGTAGACTGTCAGCTTTTGAAACCTGTACGTCCATATGGTGGTGTAACAAGAAGGCACCAAGGAAAACATTAAAGAGACTGCTTTACACGTTTTACTTTATGTTTGCCCTGAAGACTACATATAAAGTTAGTCAAGGTTTCTTGCATCAAAAAAGTCATAGTTTAGCTTTACATGATGTTTTTTTATACTTTCCGTGAGCTGTACACTTTGCTAGCATAACTTCAAGACTTCTATATTTATTTTCTGCAATCAGAATAAGGTGTTCAAAATGGGCGTCATGTACACATTAATATGAACAAAACAGGTTTGAACTGGTCTCTCAGCCTGACCAATTGAAAAATGTTCCAAATCAGCCAGCATTCAGTTCAATCAAACTAAATGTTGTATAGTACATTTTATATGAGCCAATGAATATATCATCTTACTATTTTGCCAAATGACTTAAAGTTTAACAAGAGACTATGTTGGAACATCTATTTTAGTTATGATATTAAAAATCATCGCTAACAGCAGAAGCTCCATGATATGCTCTTTTTTTAAAGCGATAGTTCACCCAAAAATTTAAATTCTGTCATCATTTGTTCACCCCCCACTTGTTCCAAACCTGTGTGAGTTTCTTCTGTTGAGCACAAAAGAAGACATTTTGAAGACAGTTGGTAACCAAACAGTTGATGGTACCCATTGACTTCCATAGTATTTTTTTTCCTATACAATGGAAGTCAATGGCTACCGTCAACTGTTTGGCTGCCAGCATTCTTTAAAGTTGTCATATCATGAAAATCTGACTTTTTTCATGTTTAAGTGCTAATCTACCAACCCTGAAAAAGTAAAAAAGAACAACCCAGGAAATTTGTTTGGTAAGCCTTTCTCTGCAAGCTTGTGAACAAATGAGCTGCTCAGATTTCACTCCCCCCTTGACGTAGAAAGGTGATCTTTTTATAATATTACGGCCCCTTAATCTGCACGTTTCCACCCACGGTGTTGCCATTGTGTTTTCACAAGTGACAACGGTGTACCATTCTAACGCCATGGTGAAGGTATGCTAACACATGCTATGTATGTATATACTGTACATGCTAACTGTTCTGTCTTTGGCTGCACTGAGGAGCACAGAACACTGTTTAGAGTCCCAGAGGAGACAAGAGAGCAGTGTATTTATTGATTTATTCACTGTATATTACTCTGCTGCCACACAGATCTAAAATAAACATGCAATTTATTCCCCAGCTGTTTACCTTCACAGGCATAACCGACTGTTTTTGTAACTCCTGTGTGTTTTTAACATAAACGTGAGTGTATTTGACAGCTTAAGCGCAATAAGACATGAAAGAGAACTTAGTTTAGTGCTCACATGCTTTCTGTGCGTTCGCTTCGGATGTGTGCGCTCAGAAAACCCTATATCAGAAGTTTAAACTAATATGGTTTAAAACGCATGATTTCAGCGCGATAAACATGATAATTAAAACCAAACATATGTTTTTTAGCAGAGTATCTGAGGTATGAGCTGTAAAGGCACAGTCCTTTTCTGGAAAAGGGGGCGAGGATCAACAGCTAATTTGCATTTAAAGAGACATGCACAAAAAAACAGTGTGTTTCTGCTTCCGCTCAAAAAAGGCATTTTTCAAAATTCTATAATAAATGATCTGTGAGGTATTTGCTGAAACTTCACAGACACATTCTAGGGACACCTGAGACTTATATTACATTGTAAAAAGGGGCATAATAAGTCTCCATTAAAATATCTTCTTTTGTGTTCAACAGCTGAAATAAATTCATACAGGTTTAGAGCAACTTAAAGATGAGTAAATGATGATAGAATTTTCGGGTGAACTATGCTTTTAATAAAATTAGTGTTTAACGTGGACTATAAAGAGAATACGGAGGACGCATTTCTAGATGTGCGTTCACCAAAATGCAGATCCATCTTCATGTCTGAAAGTGTTTTACGATACTTGATGCCCCGATATGTTATTTATTTTATTTCAAGTAAATTATTTGTTAAGGATTTTATTTTAGTTTCAGTTTTAGTTAACTATAATAGCCCTGCATTTTAAAATGGAAAATCCAAGCTATATTCTATGTGTTACTTTTTGCATGACTATTTTAAGTAAACCACATAAAAAGTATTCATGCAATCTGTTGCATGCAATTGTGCACTTTGTAAATCAGGTCTGAGTGTGCACTTACATATAGGTATTTTAGCTATATAGATATTATACTGTATATGAATCATTAGAAATGCTTGTTCTGGAGAGCTTTCGGTAATCGTTGCATTGCTAGGATCAAACGCCACAAAGTACCAATTATAATTTCACACGGGATACAAAAAATCTTATGAAATACAAGTGATTGGGCATCTTGTGTGGTGTGATTGGGCATCTTGTGTGGTATAATTGAATTTGCATGCTGATTGTTTTGCTACAGATAATTGCAATAAACAAAAACACTTAGCGGCTTGAAAAAACACTTCAGTCAGTCACACCTTAAGGATTTTATTTTAGTTTCAGTTTTAGTTAACTATAATAGCCCTGCATTTTAAAATGGAAAATCCAAGCTATATTCTATGTGTTACTTTTTGCATGACTATTTTAAGTAAACCACATAAAAAGTATTCATGCAATCTGTTGCATGCAATTGTGCACTTTGTAAATCAGGTCTGAGTGTGCACTTACATATAGGTATTTTAGCTATATAGATATTATACTGTATATGAATCATTAGAAATGCTTGTTCTGGAGAGCTTTCGGTAATCGTTGCATTGCCAGGATCAAACGCCACAAAGTACCAATTATAATTTCACATGGGATACAAAAAATCTTATGAAATACAAGTGATTGGGCATCTTGTGTGGTATAATTGAATTTGCATGCTGATTGTTTTGCTACAGATAATTGCAATAAACAAAAACACTTAGCGGCTTGAAAAAACACTTCAGTCAGTCACACTGAAAATTAAAGGCTTGATTATCTGCACTGATGATTTTAATATGCCACCCAGGTGTCCGCGCTAACCAGCACCTGTCAAAATTTTAAACATGCAAGACAAATAAGCCCTCGGCATGACAATCTGTCATTACCTCTAAAAACCATCTGATTCTTTTAATCGCTCTTGCCACGGGAGCCCATAGAAACGCACGAAAAAAGAACACATTTCCACCCGGTGCAGCAAGGCAAAAGCAGTCTCATCGACCTGACATGAAACCATGACGCAAGGGAAAATCGAAAAGATTCTATTCCACATTCCAGAGGGGATTGTTTTGCCTTTCCTTCCCGTCTTTTAATTACACCTTCTCCCTTTGCCTTCCAAGGGCACAGACTCCTCTAAGTCTCCCAGCCTTCTCCTCTCAAATGTGAATGTGCCGTTTTAAATCAGGGGTTATCTCAGACGCCAGCGTTCTTCTGATGAGACAACTTCAGACAGAATTTAGTCCCCCGGCTCCGTTTTATTTTCGGTGCAGGGTTCTTAGGGCAGTAATTGAGATATTATCTGCTTAAGGGAAACCTCACATCCTGAATCACTATACGACTCAATACAAAAGCCCAAACGGTGACATCTACATCCAGAGGCTTTTAAATAATGCAAGTGACAAATTGGTGCTTTGTAATGGAGAGGCTGATTTAACCCTTGTATTATGTTGCAGGTCAATTTGAGTTGCTGAAATAATGGTTAACATAAAAAATGTGTGACAATTTCTCATTTAAAATCATGAACATGCATGCATGCATATGCATACGTGCATGCAAAATTTTGATGTTGGCAGGTCAATTTGACTCGCACTTTCATGGTTAACAGCAGCTGCACAGACCAAAAATAAAAAATAAAAATATATTTTTAAAAAATACGGTGTGAAATACTTCACGAAAGCACACACACACACACAAAAGAAAGAAAAATTTTATAAAATGTAAAAAATTACATTTAAAATAAATAGTTACAGTACTGTTTAAAATATTCTTTTTTTTTTTTTTTAAATAGTTGTTAAATACAGTTTTATATCACATTTTCAAATGTTTATTTTTTTTACTTTAGCACTTACCTTGGTTGCATGTTTTTCCTGTGTAACCTGGATGGCACTTGCATTTGTTGGGTCCCACGCATTCTCCGTGTTTGCATCCGTGCTGACATACCGCTGTAGGCGAAAAGATCATCAGTATCACTTTACACCAAATGTCTATGCAGTAGACATGGAAACATGTACCAAAACAGCCTTTAGTTTTCGTGCTAAGAAAAAACAGTCTTTCTTGCTGTGGGAAATAAGTGTATGTACAATTAGACCTCGAGGATATTGTGGCAAGAGATCCACAAAAACATTATTTTGGAATGCTCGCCCCCTACATCAATAATTCATTGTTTACCTTGGTAATTTTAATGAACCTGGGACATGCCGAGTGTACGGTCCACCTCACTTCTGCTTTATGACTCATTAAATCTCACATTTGGATTGGGAAACAGCCCAGAGCTGTGCAACATCAGAAACCTTTGAGATCTAGACTTGGGAAAACATCCTCAGAGTTGACATGGGCTAAATTTAGGATCTGTCATTTTCAAAATAGAGACAAAAAGAGGCAAATTAAAAAATAAAAAAGCTTAATCCCATTTTATACTACTCTTCCTAATATTTTCATGAGGGGTCTGTGTTTGCAGCTCTGGCACAGGAAATGGATCTGTCTTAGTACGGCAGATTAGGATTAGAGCGACGCAAATCAAATTATGTTTAATGTAGTACACTGTAAAAAAAACATCATGGTAACGCACGACACTAAAATAATGCAATAAACATTAATTTAACAACACTGTGTAACAGAAAAACCTACTGTACATAATTGATAACAAAAACTAACATTATTTTTTTAACGAAATACCATCAAATGTAAAGAGTCACTTTAAATTATAAGATAACTTTGTTTTTACTTCTAAAATCTGTACATTTAACAGTGTTTTACTGTAAAACTACCTAAAATGTCACATTACTGTAGATCAATTACAGTTATTCACCATGTATAGTAAGGGAACTTGCTGTTAACCAGTTGACAGATTTTTACCGTATAATTGTTTTTTTTTACAGTCTTTTACTATTAAAATTGCAAATATTTTTTAACAGTAAATGTCAAAGATGTCTTGTTCTTTAATTTTTTAAAGAATGCAGTTTTTTTATATAAATATGCCACAATGTGTGTCTTCAGTATGAATAGAGGCATATATATATATATATATATATATATATATACAAACACTTTAAATTATAAGATAACTTTGTTTTTACTTCTAAAATCTGTACATTTAACAGTGTTTTACTGTAAAACTACCTAAAATGTCACATTACTGTAGATCAATTACAGTTATTCACCATGTATAGTAAGGGAACTTGCTGTTAACCAGTTGACAGATTTTTACCGTATAATTGTTTTTTTTTTTTAGTCTTTTACTATTAAAATTGCAAATATTTTTTAACAGTAAATGTCAAAGATGTCTTGTTCTTTAATTTTTTAAAGAATGCAGTTTTTTTATATAAATATGCCACAATGTGGGTCTTCAGTATGAATAGAGGATTATTCCATTCCTTTTTTACTCACAATTTGTACAGTGTCCCAACTTTTTTGGAATTGGGTTTGTATATATAAAGTAGGATTAATTTTTTTAATTAAGTTATTATTAAATAATATAAAATAATAATTATTGTACTTTTATTTTAGATTTATTTTGTTTATGTGTACACTACCACTCAAAGTTTTTTTTTTTATGTTTTTGAAAGAAGACTCTTACCAAGGCTAAATTTATTTGCTCAAAAATACAGTAAAAAAAAACAGTAATAGTGGAATATTATTACAATATAAAATAAAACAATTTTTATATATAATTTATCACAGTTTCCACAAAAATGTTAAGCAACAAAAACTAATTTTAGTCTTGTCAATAATAAGAACTAATTAATAATTAAGCACTAATAAAACTGACAAGACATCGAGCAGGAAATCAGTATATTGGAATGATTTCTGAAGGATCATGTGACACTGAAGACTGGAGTAATGATGCTGAAAATTCAGCTTTGATATCACAGGAATAAATTATATTTAAAAATATATTCAAATTACTCTTACATTACTCTACATTTTTTACTGTATTTTTGATTAAATAAACGCAACCTTTTATCAACAACACTAAAACAAATAATTATTAAAATTTTTTGACTGGTAGTGTATTCAAAAAAGGTTTCCTATTTAGCCTAGCTACTTTATCACCTGCAGTGCAGCACATATTTTCCAGACTTATTTGCAGTCTCATTCTATGGGGACTGAGCATGCACAGTTTGATCTGTACACTGCAACACAAAGCAGCAGCTGCTGAACGTCTGTGACATTAGACTGGACCAGACCAGGCTTACAGCAGAACACTCAGCGCTGGTTCATAGCCGATGTCTGCAGTCGGCTGAGACTCATTTTCATTCAAAGCTTCATTGAGTCTCCAATTATGGAGGCCTATCAGAGCTGTTAATTTTTCTCACTGGTGCCATTCTCACAATGAGAGAGGAGCTAAGAATACACCACAAACATGTGACAATATGACTAAAGACTTAAACCTTTGAGGTCTTTTCAACTCAAAACCCACTGGACCCCAGATGGTGAATGCAAGACTAGATCCTGCTGGTGTGTACAGTAGATTAAAGACACACATATCTATTTTCATCCTGTTCAAACTGCATGAAGGCAGAAAGGCATTAGCCCACTCTGGCAAAAAATAGCGCGATAAGAATCAACCCGTCTCATTCTACCTTATTAGACTGAGGAAGCTAATCAAAGGTACATGTTCACCTCGGTTTTAACCTGCGTTATTCAATATGGAGGTTGAGCAGTAAGATCAAACCCTGAGTTTAAAACACAAAAGGACAAACACGGGCCCTAATTTGGCGGTAAAGCCTAAGCTGGCAGGAGACAAACAAGGAAAGAGGCAGAGATCTCTGACATTGAGAGTTTATCCGGGCGGCTGCCTTATCTCGCCGGCCAGACAGTTATCAAATGTGATGAAATCGTGGATTAATCCAGGTGGGACGCCGTGTGATCACAAGCATTGGTTATATTTTTAAGTGCTGACGAATGAAGAGCTTAAGGAAGGGGCTTTAAAGGGAAATCTATCTGCTGCGGTCCGGTTCAGTGAATGCCGGCACTTGGAACACAACCCACAGGCGAAATGGGCCAAGGGAAGTAACCGTTATTGACAAACCACATCAAACGGTCCCGCTGGCTTCAAAACGCTCGGCACAGGTGCTCCTCCATCCCCGGAGACTTTCATTCTCGGCATAGCATACCTATCAGCGCTCTGATGACGCATGAGCGGACGGCAGCTTCAGAGACATACGCCAGAAAGAGTAATTGGTGAATTTGATGAAAATAAGATTCGGAATAAGTCGGAATTTGAAAGGCTAATAATGATTTCTCTAGTAGGAGTAGGAAAAATCAATAAACCTAGCCTAGTGGTTTGTGCCAGAGCTGTAATGTCACCCTGAGATATTTGAGTGATTTTAAATGCTGACTTTGTTTAGATACATATAGATAATTCTATAAATTAATAATGAATGAATAAATAAATTAATAAATAAATGACTAAATGATTAAATAAATAAATGACAAAATTACTATATATATGGGTACCATAGAGCCCCCCCCCCCTCTCTCTCTCTCTCTATATATATAATTTATTTATTGAATTGTATTTACCTTTAGCAGAAAATACTAGTTACCATCCTAAAATATGTAAATAAATAAATAAAACTCAATAGACATCAAATAAATAAGAAAATAATTTATAGACATGAATAAATTAATTATATACAAATGTTTGTGTGCAATACATATATAATTCACTCATATCACTTTGTAATATTTAATATAATTTTTTTATTTAATTTTCTGTAAAAAAAAAAAAAAAAAGTGTGTGTGTGTGTATATTACCATTTATTAAATTGTATATATCTTAAAAAGAAAAAAATCACTACAATTACCCTAAAATATGTAAATAAATAAATTAAATTAAATATACATAAAATAAATAAAAAGAATGTATAGCTGTGAATAAAGAAATTATATAAAAATGTGTGTAATACATATATAATTCACTCATATCACTTATTAATATTTAATATAATTTATTATTTAAATTATATATGTATGTATAATTTAACACACACACACACACACTATTTATATATTATTAATCTATTATTAATAGTGCTGTCAAACAATTACTTATTAATATTTAATATAATTTATTATTTAAATTATATATGTATGTATAATTTAACACACACACACACACACTATTTATATATTATTAATCTATTATTAATAGTGCTGTCAAACGATTAATCGCGATTAATCGCATCCAAAATAAACGTTTTTGTTTACATAATATATGTGTGTGCTCTGTGTATATTTATTATGTATATATAAAGACACACATACAGCATATATTTTGAAAAGATTTACATGTATTTACATGTATATATTTATAATTATATAAATGATATCATATATAAATATATTTCATATATAAACGTAACATATTTTTCTTAAATATATACATGCATGTGTGTGTATTTATATATACATAATAAATATACAAAGTACACACACATATATTATGTAAACAAAAATTAATTAATCGCGATTAATCGTTTGACAGCACTAATTATTAATATATTTTAACTTTCATGTTAAAAAAAATTCTACCACTACAAAATCATGTCTTAATCTTCTTTACAGAACAAATATTTTTCCCCCTTCTTCTTGTTTTTGCTTTCGTCATGTGTTATCCATTCTAAGTTATCCACAAAAAAATAGATGGATGACATTTAGCTGCTCTATGGGTGATACAAGTTTGCAAAAATTCCATTCTCCATTTCCTGTCCTCTCTCTCTCCTGCTCTAAATAAAAGTATTAAAACGACCAAAAACACTCTTGATGTGAGATCCTTCGAGGTTTACGTTGGGGAGCAAACAAATAAGTGAATATAAACAGTGATATCCAAATATCATAGAGGGTCCAGATATTCATATGGTGGCAGGAGCAGGTGTGAAGTGTTCACAGGATATCAGGATATTCTCAAAGGAGAAGTGCGTGTGGGGGACTATAAATAAACGGGAACTCGGGATTCAGCGGATGCATGCTCTGAATGATGTTCAGGCAAGATGACTGCAAAGGAAATATGATGTGGCGCTAACCTTGGGGTTGGCACCTTATCCCGAATACTCTGCGGGTTAAGACGTAGAGAGCTGCAAAACAAACGGCCAGACAAACAAAAAAGGGGAAAAAAAGAAGCTTGGTCTAAATGTGAGATGAAAACATTACATGGGAGCCATGCTGATGGACAAGCATTGCAAATGCAAAACATACAATCACACATACACAAAGCCTTATGTTACTCACATTTCACATGTTCTCATACTGTATTAATGGAATATATACAGTATATATATATATATATAGAGAGAGAGAGAGAGAGAGAGAGAGAGAGAGAGAGAGAGAGAGAGAGAGTCTTATTTAGTTATGTATTAATTTATTTTATACTTAAAATCTTTGACATGCTGATGGTAAAGTGCCTCATACCTGCATACCTTTCAAAGGTTTGGGGTCGGTATATATATATCTATTTTTAAAGAAATTAATATTTTTTTTATGCATTCAGTTGATCAAAAGTGGCACTAAATACACATTTCAAATAAACACTGTTCTTTAAACTTTGCATTCACCAAAGAATCCTCAATAAATAAATAAAAATATTAAGCAGCACAGCTGTATTTTATAATAATAAGAAATGTTTCTTGAGCAGCAAAGGATTTCGAAAGGATCATGTGACACTGAAGGCTGAAGTAACAATGCTAAAATTCAGCTTTGCATCAAAGAATAAATTACATTTTAAAATATGTGACCCTGGACCACAAAACCAGTCAATTTTATGACAATTTTTTGAAATTGAGATTTATACATTATCTGTAAGTTGAATAAATAAGCTTTCCATTGATATATGGTTTGTTAGGCTAGAACAATATTTGGCCGAGATATTTGAAAATCTGGAATCTGAGGGTGCAAAAAATCGAAATACTGAGAAAATCACCTTTAAAGTTGTCCAAATTAAGTTCTTAGCAATGCATATTACTAATTAAAAATTAAGTTTTGATATATTTACAGTAGGAAATTTATAAAATATCTTCATGGAACATGATCTTTACTTAATATCCTAATGATTTTTGGCATAAAAGAAAAATCGATCATTTTGACCCATACAATGTTTTGTTAGCTATTGCTACAAATATACCCCAGCGACTTAAGACTGGTTTTGTGCTCCAGGCTCACATATATTAAAATAGAAACGAGTTATTTTAAATTGTAATAATATTTTCACAATATTACTGTTTTTACTGTATTTTTAATGCTTATAAGCATTAGAGATTTCTTTCAAAAACATTTAAAAAAGACCCACCCCAAACATCTGAATTTCTTAATATTTAGACACATATAAAGTACATATTTCATATAATTCATTAAATGTGTTGCAAAGTGCAAAACACTATATCAAAGCACTGTCCAACAATGCTCAAACTGTTTCCAAAATTAAAAAAAAAAGGTCTTCAAAGGTCCACAATACAGAGTTGCACTCTTCTAGTTCTAAGTTCTCTTGCCCAGGCGGGACTGCCTCTGTAACAAAAGTTTCTTTGCAGGTCCTCACTCCCCTGCGAACCACTGATGCTCACACATTTGAGTAATACTTTGCTGAGCTGGTATTTTAGGAGCAGCTTAGGAACAGTATAGTTGGTGTTGCAGATCCTGTTCTCTGATACCATCACCCACCTTGTCCTGTCTGACCTCACCGATCCTCATGAGGGCCAATTAATTCTAATTAACTGATGCTTTTGGCAACAGCAGTGACGGCCACTCCCACAGCTTACATTACTCTTGAAAAGATACCATAGTACTTTGATATGTACCATGTAACTGAATGATTACCTTGTTCTTATATTAACTGGAGCTCAAATTTGGATTCACCAAAATCTGATTATTAAAGGGTGTTCAGATAAGACGCATTCTTCTGTTCAAACACAAAAGTCTCAGTTAAAGTGAAACATTTTCAATGAAGTGAAGCCGGTCAGCATTCAGGATCAATTCATGTTAAAGCACTAACACAAATTATTACCCGGTTTAGCAACACAAAAACTGAATATATTTGATTAAAAATACAGTAAAAACATTAGTATTGTGAAATATTATTGCAATTTAAAATAACTGTTTTCTATGTTAATATATTTTTTAATGTAATTGATTTCTGTGATGCAAAGCATAGTTTTCAGCATCACCTTTCTTTAGTGTCACACGATCCTTCAGAAATCATGCTGGTTTGCTGCTCAAGAAACATTTCTTTTTATTATCAGTGCTGAAAACAGTTGTGCTGCTTAATATTTTTGTTCTTTGATGGATTAAAAACACTTAATTGTCACTGAAGAAAAAAAACATACTAACCCCTAATTTTTAAACCGATAATATACATGTTTTAATGTAGATTGCCTGTCCTTATGGACTTCCACTGAAACTATGATTTTTGCTCTTTTTTTAACCTGAGGCATGAGTCGAAATGATCTTCTGTGGTAATCCACATTATGCCATGAAAGCCGTTGATAGAGCTTAACTTGTATTGAACCCGCAACGTTCCTTTAAAATCCAGCTTTTAGAGAGAGAATGAGAGAGAGATTACAGTCCAAGATGTCCTGACGCTGTTATCCTTCTGATATTTCACCACACAGGAAGGAACTTCATCAAAATTCATCCTCAGCTTGAGATCTTGTTAACTCTAGATGATTAGTTTGTTATGAGTGGGGAATCTAATTTCGGCTGTGTGAGGTTTAATCTTAATCACCAATTCAGCCCACGAAACCCAGGGCTGCCCCCTAAACCAGCTGTTTGGAGAAAGTCAAATATTGCAGCTTCATGTTCCTGTTATTGCGGTGTGAATGGAGCCAAATATGACTGCGGCGCCTAGCGAAACCTTTGACTGGATGAATATTTGAAAAGCATTTCGGAGCCGAGCACTTCACTTTCCCAGAGGAGTCTGTGCTCGGGGATGCATTCATTACGGCCTTCATTCTCGATGTGTATCTTCACCCCGGCCAAAACAAACCGCCGCAATTTCATCAAAGATGTGAGATGCAGCGATCCCGTAATCAGTCATGATGGAGCCCTCGGCGTCCCCCCGCGCACTTTCAATTCTCTGCCAAAATTGCGAGTTCAACCGCTGGCAGCCTTGCCGTCCGTGATTGAGGATAGAATCGGTCACTTCGCCGCCCATTGTGCATATTTATTTACTTCCAATTACCATTCTTAGCCGTCTGTGTCAGGCATACTCATATAATACAGTCTTTGTTGGGCGAAGAATACCAAATTTACCAAGGCGTGCCTCGGCCATGTGAAGTGTGAGAGACATTTGCACACATCCGCACACAGTCACACAAAGAAAACATTGCTTCATGTTACAAAATACGGTCAAAACGATGGCAATCTACAAGCATAGAAGCATCAGCGTAAGCTTTTGGAGCCCCTCAGCATGTGGCCCCCAGACAAACTGCAATTCTGTGGCAAAGGCAACAGCTGGGCTATCAAGTGCACAAGCCATGCAGAGAATCTCGCATTTGTCAGGCTGCCCGATACATTGTCCCGCTAATATCATCATGCATCACAGAATAGCATGAATCATCACTAGGCTGCTTCCAGTTGGTGATACGGTCAAACATTCACTCAGAAGCATGCTGTATCATTTTTAGATTTGTAGCGAACATATGGAAGCTGATAAATGAAGCATGAGACGCTATTAATATGAGCAGGGGAAGCACATCCTCTGATTCCATGATAACGCAATAAAATGAGCTAATCCGTACTTGAAAATCATTATGTGATTAATGCGGTGTAAGATTTGAGAGGCCTAGTGTGAGATGAATGCACTTTTCTTTAGGGATCTGGCACAAACCACACTAGCTCCAACTAAGGGCATTATGGGTAATGCAATCACAAACAACATCATTTAACTTAAATAAAAATGACAACAGCAACAACAACAAAACACCAACAATAAAAAACATAATAATAATAATGCTGTTGTTGTTATTTGTATTTACATTTTTGTTAATAATAATAACAATGTGATCATTTTTATCATTTGTAATACTTGCTTAAGGGAATTATGGGTAAGGCAGTCACAAACAATATAATTTAATAAACTTATATAATAATAATAATAATAATGCTGTTGTTATTTGTATTTACATTTTGGTTAATAATAATAACAATGTGATCATTTTTAATACTTAAGGGCATTATGGGTAATGCAATCACAAACAACATTTAACTTATAGAATAAGAATGAGAATAAGAATAAGAATGCTGTTGTCATTTCTATTTATGTTTTGGTTAATAATAATAATGTGATCATTTAAAAAAAATCATTTTTAATACTTTCTTATCTTATTTACTTTTCTTTTCTTTATTTTTTTTCTGCCTAAGCTTTCCTATTATTGTACAAAAATCTTTAATTTTCTAAGTCTTTAAAAATTAATGGGGTTTTTTCCATACATGAGTGGACTTCTATGTCTTTTTTAGACCTCAAACTAATCCTGCAGGAATGTGGTGCTGTTGCAGCAACTGCTCATTGTACCTTTTAATTATTCCAAATGACTGAACCACATAATATTGGGTGTCATGCAGAATATCTCCAAGACAAAGCGGACAACTGGCAGGTATTTTCTTACGACTAACCCAGTTAGTTAGCATGAAATTCAGAAGCATTATGTCCCGGGATGTAGTCTTGCTTATTTTCAGCCATGTGACCTGACCTTGCAGCTACCACTTCAGTGAGGGCATTACAAGTCACCAATTCATTCTACAGTTTGTGTTGGAATCAAATGGATCCTGTACATCAGTATGTAAAACATTATGCCAAATTTAGGACAGAATATTGTCCATAGAGGTTTTGTTCAATTTTGTTAAAGGTATGAAAATGCATTTCATAAATGGCAACTGGTGACTTGCTGTGCTGTTGTTAAGTGGCTAAAAGAAGGTTACAGCATCATGGAAGTATAGAAGCACCCTTAGCTGGCCCCCCACAGCACTGTTCACCCCTAAAGCAGCAGTTACTCACGCTGGCACTGGCCCCAGGAGACACGTGTCCAACCCCAGCAGCAGTCGATGCGGGCGCCATACCGACACAGCCCATTGGACGAGGCCATCTGTCTGGACCACCTGTCAGGAAACAGTTTGATCAGACCTTGACCAATCACTGCACAGAAATCAGTTACATGGGAATAACATTGCCAAAGAATTACTATCTGTCTTTCTGTCTGTCTGTCTGTCTGTCTGTCTATCTATCTATCTGTTTGTCTCTCTGTCTGTCTACAGCACTGTTCACCCCTAAAGCAGCAGTTACTCACGCTGGCTCTGGCCCCAGGAGACACGTGTCCAACCCCAGCAGCAGTCGATGCGGGCGCCATACCGACACAGCCCATTGGACGAGGCCATCTGTCTGGGCCACCTGTCAGGAAACAGTTTGATCAGACCTTGACCAATCACTGCACAGAAATCAGTTACATGGGAATAACATTGCCAAAGAATTACTATCTGTCTTTCTGTCTGTCTGTCTGTCTGTCTGTCTATCTATCTATCTGTTTGTCTCTCTGTCTGTCTGTCTGTCGATCTATCGGTCTATCTGTCTGTCTGTCTATCTGTCCGTCCATCCATCCATTCATCTATTCAAATACTTGAAAAGTTACCACAAAACGTTTTTACATTTTTAAGAGATGATGCAATATATTGTTTATCAATGCTCATATACATATGCAAGGAAGAATCACTGAAACTTCAGTAAAGGGTTAAATAAAATATATATTTTAATATTCACAATTTAAAAAAAAACTGAGAATGTTTTAAATACATTATATTTGAAAATAACCAGCTCAGTTCATTTTCTCTCTTATTTTGTCCTCTCTGTTTAAATACGGCCAGGCGTATTAAGTAGAAGTTTAATTTTAGGTTGTGTGCTGTGCTTTCCCTTTATCTATTACCCATGATCCATTTATGTTACGTCATTTGACCTGTGTACATTCCCTTTTGCTTATTTTCACAGGCCTTAAAAGGTTTTACTTCTTCACAAAAACATTTGGAGTGCTGCTGGTGGAAAAAAAAAGAAATCTGTAATCCCAGAGTGCGCTGCCAAGAAACTCTCAGATTCAAAAGCACTTCAGCTGTACCTTTATTTTCCATTTTATGGAAAAATCGGTTTTAAACGGCCCTTCACTGTTGTTTCCAAGAATTATGTATTCCAAAAATCTGTCTTGTTCGCTCACATTGTAACATATCTCCTTCTAAGAACATCATTCTTATTTCCCATAACTTCCCTCTAGCTATAGGCAGCAGGAGCACAGACAGACTTCATCTTATCTGTGCTCAAAGCACTTCAGCTGTACCTTTATTTTCCATTTTATGGAAAAATCGTTTTTAAACGGCCCTTCACTGTTGTTTCCAAGAATTATGTTTTCCAAAAATCTGTCTTGTTCGCTCACATTGTAACATATCTCCTTCTAAGAACATCATTCTTATTTCCCATAACTTCCCTCTAGCTATAGGCAGCAGGAGCACAGACAGACTTCATCTTATCTGTGCTCTGTGTGTGTATCCAGCATCAACATACGAGAACATCTGCCTCTGGTGTGGTACAGCACAATGATAACTCACAGTGGTGTTATCTGCAGCACCTGTGTCACTGAGTACAACGGAAGCTTTGTGAATATAGATAAAACCTCACTGGCTGACTGATGCAATGGATAAGACAACAGGAACAATAGAAGTTACCTCATGACTTGCAAATGTGCTAGAATGTGCCAAATTCACAGCCTTAGATGGATAGACGGATAGACAGACAGACAGACGGACAGACGGATAGATGGATAGACGGATGGACAGACAGACGGACAGATAGACAGACGGACAGACTGACAGACACAGACAGAAAGACAGACGGACGGACAGATAGACAGACAGACAGACAGATAGGCAGATGGACAGATAGACAGACAGATAGGCAAGATGATAGATCAGTGGATGAACGGATGGATAGACGGACGGACAGATGGACAGATAGGTAGATGATAGATTGACGGGGGATGAACAGATATATGATTGATGGACAGATGGACAAACATAGATGACAGATTGATGGATGGGCGGACTGATGGATAAGATGATAGATCAATGAATGGATGGACAGACAGATGATAGATTGATGGATGGACGGACAAAAATACAGATAGATAGATTATAGTTCAAAGGAAGGACAGATGGACAGACAGATAGATAGATGATAGATTGATGGATGGACGGAGAGATAGATGATAGATTGATGGCGGACTGATGGATAAGATGATAGATCAATGAATGGATGGACAGACAGATGATAGATTGATGGATGGACGGACAAAAATACAGATAGATAGATTATAGTTCAAAGGAAGGACAGATGGACAGACAGATAGATAGATGATAGATTGATGGATGGACGGAGAGATAGATGATAGATTGATGGATGGACGGAGAGATAGATAGATGATAGATCAATGGATAGATGCACAGATAGATGATAGTTCGATGGACAGATGGACAAATAAATAGATCGATGGAGGGATGGATGGACGGACAATCATACAGATAGATAGATCATAGTTCAACGGAAGGACAGATGGACGGAGAGATAGATGGATAGATGAACAGAGGGATTGATGGATGGACGGAGAGATTGATGGATGGACGGATAGATAGATAGATAGATAGATAGATAGATAGATAGATAGATAGATAGATAGATAGATAGATAGATAGATAGATAGATAGATAGATAGATAGATAGATATTTAATCTACTAGGCATTGTTATATATTTTTTAAATCATCACAAGAAATATCACCCAGTTCTATAAGTTGCATGTGTTACACAAGTGAGACAGGAACTAAATTGTGAATTTTGCCCACATGCTGCATCGGCTTCGGTTACTCTGGATGGTAAGGCAGTGAAAATGCTAATGCGGGCCGTCCTGCTGCCAGTCACTCCAGTAAGAAACTGTGATGGTGGCACTAAATGAGAGTGACAGGCTGAAGGGAAAATGTTTGCGCGTGCAGCTCAGAGAGGGAGAGGAGACTTCAGAACGCCTCTAAAGACACAGCGCGCATGTTAAGAGGATTGAGTCCAGACTCCTGCCTGTCACTCCACTGTATCTCACCTGAAACATACATTTAATCACACACACACACACACACACACACACACACAGACTGGCCAGACTCACTACTCATGTACCAACACATAATCTCCTCTGAGTGTATTAAAAACATCACTTCTAACTGACTGCAAAACATGTGCAAGACAGTGGGTGCACAATACGTCATAATATATTGCAATAGTTCCCAGGGGGTGCACATGCATTTTAATTATCTTTTGTATACACATTCAATTACTTTTTAAAAGTAAGAAAACCAAATAATAGGCCTATATATAGATTGTAGTCCATTTGTGTGAATGGCACACACAGCAGGACATATGTACATGAAGACCCCATACATGCATCTTTATTCATTTCACTCTCATTTCTCCACAACAATACAAAGCCCTTTGCGATTTTCTTTTTCCATGAAAACATCAAACTAAAACCAGTTAGAAAACCCAACTTCAGTTTGAGTAGAAGCTAATTGGGGTCTGTTTTCACCCACAGCATTGCATGTTTTTAAACATGGTGCTTTGGAATAATGGCCATTTTAATTATAATTAGAATGCTAAAGGATATTCAGTGTAAATATGAATTGCAAACACATTTATGAGGATTATTATTTCATACATATTTATGAGGACTGGTTTGGTGTTGATGAAAGGGTATTTGAACCTTACTGACAAGGCTATTTAAGGGTACACAAGGTAAAGGTAGGAAACTGCTATAAAACAAGCTATTTCTGCTGCAGATTTTACATCGGACAAGGCAATATAGTATTAAAACTGTTTATTATTAAAGAGAGAATAAAAGAGAAAAAAGACATTGAAAATGCACTGCTTGCACTGTATTCAAATGTACTGCTTTTGACAAACTATAGGATACAGTAGGTTTAAGCAATACAATGGTGTTCACAACGGTGATAATAATAAGAAATGTTGTTTTGATTAAATCAGCATATTAGAATGATTTCTGAAGCATGACGTGACACTGAAAATAGAAAACAGTTATTTTAAATTGTAATAATATGTCATAATATTTCTGTTTTAACTGTATTTTTTATCAAATAAATGTAGCCTTGGTGACTTCTTTCACAAACATTAGAAAAATCTTACTGACCCCAAACGGTTGAATAATATGTAAACAGGCAAAAAACTACATGCAACATAGGCTGAATAGCATACAATTGAGCTTTAAATGCAAGTGAAGCCGTATTTAGTCTTAATCAGTTTTTGAGTAGCTTTCACGGATTTTCAGTTGGAATCAGATGAATCTGAGCCAAGTTTGATTTGATGCATGACATTTATGAGGACTGGTTTGGTGTTGATGAAAGGGTATTTGAACCTTACTGACAAGGCTATTTAAGGGTACACAAGGTAAAGGTAGGAAACTGCTATAAAACAAGCTATTTCTGCTGCAGATTTTACATCGGACAAGGCAATATAGTATTAAAACTGTTTATTATTAAAGAGAGAATAAAAGAGAAAAAAGACATTGAAAATGCACTGCTTGCACTGTATTCAAATGTACTGCTTTTGACAAACTATAGGATACAGTAGGTTTAAGCAATACAATGGTGTTCACAACGGTGATAATAATAAGAAATGTTGTTTTGATTAAATCAGCATATTAGAATGATTTCTGAAGCATGACGTGACACTGAAAATAGAAAACAGTTATTTTAAATTGTAATAATTTGTCATAATATTTCTGTTTTAACTGTATTTTTTATCAAATAAATGTAGCCTTGGTGACTTCTTTCACAAACATTAGAAAAATCTTGCTGACCCCAAACGGTTGAATAATATGTAAACAGGCAAAAAACTACATGCAACATAGGCTGAATAGCATACAATTGATCTTTAAATGCAATTGAAGCCGTATTTCGTCTTAATCAGTTTTTGAGTAGCTTTCACGGATTTTCAGTTGGAATCAGATGAATCTGAGCCAAGTTTGATTTGATGCATGATCTTTGACATCAATGTAGAAATATAAGGCTTATTTTCAGCTAAAAGATGCAAAGGCTATTTATTAAGCTATTCTAACAATGCACAGTTATACGGTTAGAAGCATTTTTTATTTGCATTTAGCTGACCGTGACCCTATCAGAACAGCCATTAGTTGAGAATCACTGATATAAAGAATAATGAGTGTCTAGAAAAATAACGAGTATGACAGAGCGGGGTCACAATGCATACTATCATTCACGGTTGGTCTCCAAATATGTTCCGACTGGCTGCGATTTTGCCTTTTCACAAAATATTTGACTTTCAGGGAGGACA